CCCCAAAACCCCAAAACCCCAAAACCCCAAAAAACCCCAAAAAACCCCAAAACCCCAAAACCCCAAAACCCCTAAACTTCTTCACAAAAATAAAATCTTATAAAAATATATTATAAAAATGAGATTCGTACGTCCTTCCTTCAGAAAACCCTCCTCGCTTAGTAGTAACAGGAGGGTGAACTCGAAGGGAAATTTTAGAGGTTTGGGTGAAGGGGTGGGAAATAGGGATTTTTAAGGATTTTGTTACTGGTTGGAAGAGAGAGTAGGCTGGCTTCTAAGTGTTATAAAAGTGGGGATGGTAGGAAGAGGGGTGATCTTTGGTATAGAAGTGAATGGTGTGGTGCCTGATGGTGATTTGGATGGGGGAAATTGGGGTCAGAGAGGTGAAGGCAGAGTTAATGGCAACATATTTGTTCCAAAATGTTGAAGCAGGGGTTGATATAGAAAGCTCCGAAGGACTTCCAAACCAACCAGTGCTCAAATGGCCAAGTATTTAGATGCTCTCATACATAGTGGATACTTCAAAGAGACCTAAAATTTATCAACAACTTGTATATTGGAATGGTGCTTTTAATGATCAGTAAAGTCTTACCTTTGATCTTTTATAGATACTTTGAGTTCTCTAACCACTTTGAAAGTGACACTGACTCTATCGCCATAAATATGTGGGTTTATGTGTGCTGTCCAAATTATAACAATGAAAGATTCCTTAGAGTGAGGAACAAAGTAAGCAGTATTATTGATTCATTACTAGTTCGGGAACAACAGCATTGGAGAAATCGAAATGAAACTTACAGATTCGGCCAGTGATGGAGGGTATAACTTCAAAATTAATGGAGGAACTAATATTTCTCCAATTAAGATAAGCCAAGAAAGTAATCTAGAATTAATTGCTTACTTTGGACTCAATTTTCTACCTATGTTCCAAAGATCAAGAGAATAAATACATTATTTGAGAATAATTTTCTCAAGATTGAGGAAAGTTTGATGATAATAGAAACTTCTACCTTGCTTTCATTTAGTTGGTCTGAATAGTACAGCGAAGAACCTTGTATCCAATTGTTACTCCTTCAGATTTAATAGGGGTTCTACCTTTGATCTAAGCTAAATATTTTGGCTGGAGTACCACTTTTAATTAGCCTTTTTATTGGTGATTGCATCATTATCTGAAGGTATTCTCTTCAGTCTAAATTGATTAAATAAATTCTTACACTTTCGGATAGGCCAATACCGAAATCTAATTGGGTTTGGATGGAAAGAGTTGACTGTATATTCTAAAAAAGTTGTAAACTCTGCTTCACCATGAACCTCTAAAAGTAAGTTTTAATAATCTCAAATTATGCTACATTGTGAAAAGTTCAGGTAATTTTATCCGAATAGGTGACTCCCTCACGAGCATCACAACTGGATGGAATAACAATGCCTTTATGTTCTTAGGCTTTTATGAAGAAGCTTTTAGTTCAGTTATATTCTACATTTACAGGTAAGAATATTTAAACTAACTTTTACATTGAGTAAGAATATCTTGCTAATTAAAATAATTGAGCACCTTGGTGTTTTGAGGAATTTTAATCTCAAGTCATTGACAAATAAGCTAAATATACAGAATTTAATAACCCAAAGCTAGCTTATTTTCTCATTCTCTTCCACTAAACACCTTCCACGCATATTTCCCACTGATTTCCCTCCATAAGTATGCATCCCAAATTCTTCATCTGGGATACCTTGCTTCCAAATTCCCAATCTGTTATCCTAATTTTCTTTTTAAAACTTTCAATCTAGCATGAGAGTTTACTCAGATGTTGAGCCAATACAATCCTGTGACCCAGTTTGGGTCCCGTATCATAGTAAGTAAACTAAAACCTTTAGTCTATTATAAATCCTGAGGCAACAGGAGTAAACAAGGCTCTGAAGAATGAGATGATGGAAACTGGGAAAATGATGATGGGTGTGACCAAGATTGAAAAATAGAGCCAGGCTGGAATTGAACTGGGTCTTTTCCTTCTACTTGAGCAAGGGTCTGAGGATGGAATGAGACAGGACCTCCTTTAGATGAAGCTGTGGATTGTTATGATAAGAATACTGTAGCTGGAGATGGATGTGACCTCAATTGTGAAGTTGAAGATAAGTATGTTTGTAAATGGGATACTGGGTCGGAGAGGACTGAGTGTACAGACATATGAGGAGATGGTTTTGTAGTAAGCTCTCCTTCGACTACATATTGAGATGATGGAAATCTGAATGATGGAGATGGATGAAGTAGTACTTGTACTGAAGAAATTGGATTTAATTGAGCAGGAGGGTCTTCAGCATCAGCCTCTAGCTGCTCTGAAATCTGAGGTGATGGTAAAGTTATTGGAGATGAGGAATGAGATGACAATAACTTAGACGTAAATGATGGATGAACTAATTTTTGTATAATCGAGCTAGGCTATTCTTGTATTGGAGGGTCTCCCACAAGCAAAAGTAGTTGATATTTTGGATCTTGTGGAGATGGTAAAAAAGCAAATCTTGAAGATTGAGATGATTCAAATGAGGATGAAGGAGATGGCTGTGATAGCTCATGTAAGGTTGAAATAGGCTACAATTGTACTGGAGGTACTCCTTTAAAACAAGATGCTTGTGTTGAAATCTGTGGAGATGGAATCGTAGTCGGAAACGAAACTTGTGATGATCAAAATACTCAAAGTGGAGATGGATGCACCGAGAACTGTCTAATAGAAGATGGATGGAAATGAAGTGAATCTAATTCAACATCTCCAAGCGTTTGAGAAGTGATTTGAGTAGTTGAAGGATGAACGAAATGTGAGTATGGTAAAGGCTCGAAATGACAGACATGTGAAGATGGATACCAGCTCCTCGATAGCAAAAAATGAAGATATACTGTAGTTGCTGAAGAAGTCCAAACTCTCTCAAGTGGATCCCAAGCTGCAGCAGGAGCTGGTTCTCTTATTGCCACTCTGATGTCTCTTTTGAATTCATCTTCACCCATGGCTATCTGGTCGATGGCCAATCAAATGCAGCTTTTGATGCTTCTACTTTTGACTCAGACATCTCTGCCTTCTGACGTAGTTGGATACATTTCAGGCAACCAAATGTTCTCGTTCGACATGAAGTTCTTGCCAATTCAGAATAATGTAGTATCTAAGGTACCTCTAGACTGGCTAAAGCAAAACCAAACCAACATTGGACTAGGAGACATGGGGATGGAGTCAGGCAGTTCATTCAACAACAATTTCGGCATCATTTGAACACTGCTGATGTTGGTAATATTTCACTGATTGTGGAGCCTGCTACCCAGAACTATTGATGACGATGATCCTCGAGATTGCAAAGAGAAAACCCTCAAATTTGTTGGGTGGGTCTGGAAGATCCTGACATTTGGAGTCTACATTCGATTGGTGTTGGAGGCATATCAGAATATTCTGCTGTCAAGTCTTAACGAAATCAAGAACTTTGAACCATCATCATTGCATATAGCAGTATCCACAGCTGCTGCTTTAGTGTTCTTAGTATTGATGTCGCTTGTGTTTTACTGGGCTCTGAAACAAATCAACCGTGATTTTGATCCGAAACAACACTCAAAATCAAAGGAGCTTGTTGCTGGACTCAAAGATTCAAAAGCTGCTAGACTCTTCACAACTCTTCTGTTATTAAGAAGACTTGTATTTTGCACATGGTTGATCATGTTCTCGTTTACTGGCTATTATTACTTGGTGTCTGGGATGCTTCTGGTACAGATATTGTACACTAGCTTTATGATCTTTGTAAGACCTTTTAAAGAGCCAGCCAACAATTTGATAGAGTGACTCAACGAGATATTCTTTTTGTTTATAGTAGCATACTTGATGAAATACAACACAAAACAAGCATGGACTCCAATGCCAACCAAGATCTATATCTACATTCTCATGCTCAACAACATTATTGTAGTCAGTATAATATCAGGTAAGTCTGTGAGTAACACATAGTGGTTGGAATTGCCCAACTCTGCAAGAAACTATGTGGCAAGAAGAAACCAGACACATTCGAAATTCCTCAAATAATCCCTCCAAAGGTACCTCTCTCATAACCCCATAGACCAATCCAAGAAGATTCATCGATAGTAACACCATCGCAACCTCAGACATCCATTTGAGAAAGTTCCCAACAAACTCAATGACCTCCAACCCCGAAGATCCTCCAATTTCCTCCTCCATCGTCTCCATGAACACCAACGTCAAAAGAGTGAATAAAATCATGCCAATTGCTGAATAACTCAATTATCAACTCTTTAATACTACCTCGGGGTTTTGGGGTTTTGGGGTTTTGGGGTTTTGGGG